GCCCACAAGCGCCCGCAAGCCCAAGCAACAGCGCCAACAAGTGCCCACAAGCCCAGCAAGCCCAGCAAGAGCGCCCACCCACAACCGCCCACACACGCCCACAATCCCAGCAAAACCGCCTACCAGAAAGCCCAGCAAAAGCGCCCAAAGCCCACAAGCGCCCACAAGCCCAGCAAAGGCCCACAAGCCCAACAAGAGCGCCACAAGCGCCCGCCAAAAGCGCCTACAAGCCCAGCAAAAGCGCGCGCAAGCGCCCACAAGCGCCCAGCACAAGCCCGGCAAAAGCGCCCACAAGCACCCGCAAGCCAGGAAAAGCGCCCACAAGCCCACAAGATCGCCAAGCCCAGCCATCCACAAGAAAGCGCCCAAGCACGCGCCAACGCCCACAAGCCTAAGCCCAGCAAAAGCGCCCACAAGCCCAGCAAAAGCCCACAAGCGCAAGTGCAGCAAAAGCGAAACGGATGAAACATGTGGGCGCTTGTGGGCACTTCTGGGTGATTGTGGGAAAAGAAGGAAAAACGGGATCGAGCGGGAAAAAACGGGAAAAAACGGGATCGAGCGGGAAAAAACGGAAAAAAAAACGGGAACAAGCAGGAAAAAAACGGGAACGAGCGGGACAAAACGGGCTGACGCGAGTGCATGTGGGCGCGTGTGGGCGCATGTGGGCGCATTGGGCGCGCATGTGGGCGCCGGCAAAAGCGCCCACAAGCCACAAAAGCGCCCACAAGCCCAGAAAGAGCGCCCGCCCACAACCGCCCTCTCACGCCCACAATCCCAGCAAAACCGCCCACCAGCAAGAGCGCAAGCGCCCACAAGCCCAGCAAAAGCGCCCACAAGCCCAAGAGAGCCCACAAGCCCAACAAGAGCGCCCAGAAGCGCCCATAAGCAAAATCCCGTAGCCAAAAGCGCTTACAAGCCCAGCAAGCCCTTACAGGCTCAGCAAAAGCGCTTTTCGCTTTTGCTGGGCTTGTGGGCGCTTTTACCGGGCTTGTAAGACTTGGGCGCTTGGGATTTTGTGGACGCTTGGGCTTTTGTAGGCGCTTGGGCGTGGGCTTGCGGGCGCTTCTGGGGTTGGGGCGCTCTTTTTGGCTTGTGGGCGCTTTTGCGGGGCTTGTGTCGGAGCCCACAACAGTGCATAGCCTTGTGTGTGGGCGTTTGTGGGCACTTGGGCACTTGTGTGTCGAAAAACGGCCCGGCGGCAAAAAAACGGAGAAAAAATGGGCTGACGCGAGTGCATGTGGGCGCATGTGGGCGCACGTGGGCGCCACAAACCCACAAGCCCAGCAAAAGCGCCCAGCCCCACAATCCCAGCAAAAGCGCCCACAAGCCCAGCAAGAGCAGGCCAGCAAAAGCGCCCACCCACAAGTGCTGAGCCCAGCAAAAGCGCCCACAGCCCAGCACAACCACTTAGAAGCCCAGCAAGGACGCCCACAAGCGCCCACAAGCCCAAGCCACAGCCACAAGCGCCCACAATCCCAGCAAGAGCAAAAGTGCGCACAACCACAAGCACTCAGAAGCACACAAACACTCACAAACACTCACAAACACTCACAGACACGCACACACATACACACACACACTCACAAGCACTCACAAACACTCACAAACGCTCACGCTCACAAACACTCACAACTCACTCACAAACACTCACAAACACTCACATCACTCACAAACACTCACTCACAAACACTCACACAAACACTCACAATCACTCACAAACACTCACAAACACTCACAAACACTCTGCCTTCCCTCCCTCCCTCCCTCCCCTCCCTCCCTCCCTCCCTCCCTCCTGTCCCCCCCCTCTCCCCCTCCCTCCCTCCCTCCCTCCCTCCCTCCCATCCCTCCCTCCCTCCCTCCCTCCCTCCCTCCCTCCCTCCCTCCCTCCCTCCCTCCCCCTTCCTCCCTCCCTTCCTCCCTCTCCGCCCTCCCTCCCTCTCTCCCTTCCCGCCGCCAGCTGTTTCTTGCACACTGATTCACGTACGCAGCGTGTGCGCGCACGGACACACAAGGCGCTGAAGTTTTACGTGCGCCTGGGTACTCACAAAAGTAGCTAGAGGTCATCCACAAACAAGCCTCCGGAGTCGCTAACAACCACAAACTCCAGACAGAGAGGGAGAGAGAGAGAGAGAGAGAGAGAGAGAGAGAGAGAGAGAGAGAGAGAGAGAGAGAGAGAGAGAGAGAGCGCACTACACCGCCCAAAAGCGCCCCCAGGCCCAAAACAGAGCGCCCACAATGCCACCGACGCCCACAACGCCACCCACGCCCGCGCAAGGAAGAACGCCCACAACAACGCCCACACAAGCTCAGCAAAATGTCCAAAGCCACAACCACTAAAATGGTCCAACCCCAACACGTGAGACTTTGCCTTTGTCCATCAACCGGTCAAAGGGTCTAAAACTGAGCTTCCCAGATACTCACATGTGAGTGGCGTTCTTGCTGGGCGTTGCGGGCGGTGTTCTTGGGCTTGTGGGCGCATCTTTCTGGGCGTCGTGGTTTTGATGCGGCTGTTCTTCCTTGTGGGCACTTGCGGAGAGTTTTGTGCTGTTTGTTTGGGCCTGCGGGCGCTTGTGGGTTTGCAGGCTTCTTCTTGGGCTTGTGGGCGTCGGTGTTGCGGGCGTCTTCCGGGAGCGCCGTTGCGGGCGCTCTTCCTTGTGCTTGTGGGCAGTTTTGGGGGCTTGTGAGCATGTGGGCGCCGGTCTGTGGCTGGGCTTGTGGGCAGCGTTGTGGGCGCTTGGGCGTCTTATTGGGCGTTGAAAAGGCAAGCGAGTGGCACCAAGAAGCTTGGGTTCTGGGCCAATGACACAAGACCTGACCGAATTTGACAGACAGGGACAGGGAAAGCAAAAGGAGAATCTCCTTGCGGGCCCCCAACAAGACGAGCCGAATAGGTTGACGGTTAGATATGCGCGGCGCAGCTAGTCCAAAAATAAAACAACCTTGCGGCCAAAGGCTATGGGGTTGCAACCTTTCTCAGCTGTTGGGCCAGAAATGCTTCCAGAAGGTGTCGTTGAATGCCGCCCTTGTAAACATTAACAGGCGGCAATTTGAACCCTTCCCTTTGGATTCTCACTCCCTGGTCCTGGACTTTAATTATTTTTGGGAAGATCATGTTAGTTGTAAACGACAACTTTGGTTGCAGTTTTTGGCCAGTCCACTCAGAGTCAGGTAAACATGTTCAACCCCCATGAAAAGAAGGTTTGAACCCCAGTAATGTAAGCGCCCATATGGACCGCTGAGGGCGCCCGCAACAGCGCAACCCCACTCTCTGCTGGGTGCGCTTGTGGGCGCATGTGGGCGGGGTTTCATTGGGTGCTTGTGGGGTGTGAGGGGGGGGGTGGGCGGCACTGTTGCAGGCGCTCCCTTCATAATTGCTTGCGGGCACTTGTGGGCGCTCTTGGTGGGTGCTTGTGGGTGGTTGCGGGCGTTCTTCATGAGTGCTTCCGGGCGCTTGTGGGCGGCAGTGGGCGAGCGCCCATATGCGCCGCACACCCAAAAGCGCCCAAGAAGAGCCCCCACATGCGCCTAGAAGCACCCGCCAAGAGGAACGCCCACAGAGGCAACAGTGCTGCCCACAAGCGCCCGCAAGCACTCATCATGCACGCTTGCAAGACTTCCGTCCTTGTGGCCCACATGCGCCCACAAGCCCCACGAAGGAGCGCCCACAAGCGTCCGCAAGCGCTCATGAACATCGCCCGCAAGACTTCCGCCCACAAGCGTCCACCAAGACAGCCCACCAAGAGAGGCACAAAGGGAGCCGACAGCGCCTGCAAGCGTCCTTGAAGTGAGCGCCCACAACGAAATGCCATTCCTTCAAAGCAAGCCGAAACTGGCTGATGCTGGCCGAGGCGGGCAGCACGAAGCGTGTACAATAAAAATGTGTGCTCGCGGAGCTTACCCTTGCAAGCGCGAGCTCTACGTTCAAGGGCTGCTTTGTTTCCTGCTGTTTCATGTTTCTTTGCTGCTGTTTCCTGATGCTTCCTGCTTCTTCCAGCTCTTTGGAAGGCCCCGAAAACAAGAGGCCCCACAAGGGATTTGCTGAAAATAACACACTCTTGAGCAAACGGAAGTCGTAGGGGGAAGCTTGACCACCCTTTGTCGGACACTTTTTAAGCGGGAGCATACTCTTGTGGACTGAGAGCATTCGTCATCTGGCACGGGCAAGTTTCAAGCGCTCATTTCGAGGAGCAGACGCTCTCCCCGTCCTGTTCGCACGACCCACCTTGTCAAATCGTCGTCCAAAGTGATCTGTGAGGTTATGAGGTTATGGCTTTGAAAGTTGGGTGAGGTGCCAATCTGGGTGTGGCTCAAAATGAAAGAGCTAGGGTTCCGCAGGTTTCAGTCTTTGCTTCCACTTGCCAAGGGTGCCATTTTGGTACATGTTTTTTGAGCCACAGCCATATTGAAAAAACTACCCACGCTGTTCCACCCCCCTGGCTCGGCAGGTCCTCCGACTGCTGGCTCTGAATGCGCGCCGAGGCCTGGAGCAAAGCAAACCAAAGCAAAACAAGCCAAGACCAACATAAGCAAGCACGCGGGCAAGCAACTAACAAGAACAAGCAGCAATGCAAACAAGTATGCCAACACACACACACCAAAAAAAACATGCACGCACACAGGGACAGAATCAAGCAAGCAAGAAAGCAAGCCAAAGCAAAGCAAAGCAAACCAAAGCAAATCAAGAAAGCAAAGCAGCAAGCCAGCAAGCCAGCGGGCATTCAATTCCCACACCTCCCACCAACTTCGAGACTAGTGATAACTTGCGCGCCTCGCAGGCACCAGCTGCCTGCTTGGACAACCGCAGGCTGTCGTCGTCACCTCAGAAAAACCTAGTTCTGAACAGAGTACAAGTGAGCTCAGGTGTTGTTGCCTGTTTTGGTGAACACTGCGCATCTGAACATGTTGAGATCGCACAACCGTCTCCTTCATCCCCAGTCTCCTGCTTTGGCATCTCACCTCGGCCTTCCACCTCTCATGCCCAACACAATGGCCTTGATTTTCACCAACGAAAGAGTCGTTCTGAATTCTAAGCCGCTCAGCTCGCGAATCTGTATTAACGCTTATGGGCAAAGCACAAAAAGCACCGAACTGATGCAGCGCATGAATGGCCACCCACCTAAGTGGCATAAAAAAAACAGAAGCTCAAGGTGGCACTCGAAAGGTGCACAGCAAAGAGCTAGAGCGAGCGACATGCTTCTCGGCTCTCCAACGGCCCTGGCCGACGAACCTGGGCCTCGATCTCTTCAGTTGATCCACCACCAGCGCTGATCGACACCGATGGATGTCCAAAAGGCACACTCTGTCGCCTTGTGATCTGCATTCCACCGATTGCTGAGCTCACCCACCTGGGTAGACGTGCTCAATGGTGCTCATGGAAATTTGGTCCACAGGCCCCAGGTGACCCAAACAAAGAAAGAGCTTGACCGAAATCGAGGCTTTCAAACAAACTGCCCCCACCTCCGAGCCGATGACCTGCCCCGGTGCCGAGTCCTGAACCTTCTTCCAGCCCTCCGCTTCCCGAAGCGTCCCGAAAATCGCCAGCTCAAACCAGTCCGCCCGCAAGCGCCGGCCCAGCGACAAGTCCTAGGGCAAACTCGCAGGAATTCTCGCGGGTCCTACTGGTTACGTGGCTATCCCAGAAGGGCCTTGGAACCCTGAGATGTGCCCAAACTTTGCTTGAACTGGCAGCCTCTCCCGCAATGCGCCAAGCGCGGACATCTTGACACACCAGACAGCTGCACTGTCATAGCATGAACAGAAAGCTAAGGAAATCCGCAGGCCAAAGCAGGCCAAACTAGATCATGAAACATGTCATCGCATCTCACTTTCCTCGCCCCTTCACCAATCGCCGTAACAGTCAATGTGCACCACAACTCTTTCCTGGTGCCATGCTACGGATGTGACTCGCTTGTTCAGCAGCCGTGAGCATGGGCAGTTGAACGAATGTGTGTATCATTCAGTCGAGATGTGCAGCTCTGTCAACACTTGCTGCTTTGTGTGTGATCTGCGTGCCAGCAAGCCAAATTCACTCGTGAGATCGCCATTCGCCAAAGCCAGATTCCAGGGATCACCAGTTACCCCCAGTGGCCATGGAAACAAAAAACAGGGCGCTCTTGTTTGGGTCGTTGACCTTCAAGGGACGCCTCCGCACCAAAAGCGGCAACACCGGCACGGAAGGTTGATCGGGTCAAGTCCTCGTTCGAGGGCTCGTAGTCGTCGAAGATCTCTGCGGCAGCGGTGAGGTCCCAGTTGTGGAAAGCGAAGCGCTGGCCGGGCATGGGGCGAGATGGACCGGCCGTCACTGTGCTCCAGTACCTCGTCTGGAATTCTGAAAGGCGTCGCGTCAACTGTCAAGCAGTTGGCACTGAGCTTCCTCCAAAACGAATATCCCAACTTTCAAGCACGTGGATATGTAGTTGTGTTCGCTAGTTAGACACGTCACCCGGGCATTTGCTTGTGGCTCCCTTTGCATCGAAGGGGCACTGGGGACTTGAATCCCTTGGCAGCAGCCTGCGTCAAGCGTCTTAGGCCGCAAGCGGCGCCGGTATCCGCATCAATGGCGTAGCCGCCTTTTTCCGGAGGCTCGTAGTGCTGGTACCTGGGCCCAAGTGAGTTTCAAGGATCGATTTCCAGAATGGGTCGTGAAGAAAAAAAAAGCCCGAAAAGCATGGGGCATCAAGCCCTAGATAAACGTTGAAAGCACCCAGTTCCACAGCCTCCCCTTTTCGAGGGCATTCTGGACCAGAAGTCATGGCGATCTTCAGCCACTTGGCTGGTTGCCAGCAATTGTTCCTACCGGCGCTGGTATATGGGATGCCTGCTTTGTCAAGTTGCATGGAACAGGCACGTAAAAAAATATGGTTCAACTGGGGTAATCTGAGTCAGCTAACGTGCAAAACGGCCTGGTTTCTTCCAAAAGGAAGATTCATGAGGAAACCTGACCAAATTTACTGGATCTGCTTTGCCAAGCAAACAAGGGTCGATTAGGAGGCGTTGATGTATCTCGAAACCAGACCTTTCTAAAGTTGTTCTGCCCAACAGGGTATCATCATCTTGGGTGTTTTCAGGTAGGCTAAAAAGGTATGCGGGACGGCTCTTGGAATACAAAAACACTGTATGCGAATGCGCGCCAGTCCCTGATAGAAAAAAACAACATCGAACCGGATTCGGCGACCATTTTGAGTAGATCAGGGCCAAAGAAATCCATTGCTTGATCCAGTCCAAACAGGGACATCCTAAGACACATTGGACATGGACACCTACCAAAGAGAAAGGGAAAAAAAGGTGTACCACTAAAAGTTAAAAGTATTTGGGAACCAAGGAGTCTGCCCCAAACCAGTTTTGACTCATACCCTAGTGGGATGTTTCGGATGGAACACCAAGCAAAGGGTTGTCTCATTGCCAGCCGTGGGGCAGGGCGTCGATCTCTTCGGCGACTCCCTCCCCATACACAGCGAAGGAGTCCCGCAGGAAGTGACTGAAGTTCCTTGGGCATGTTAAAAGTGGCATGGGGAATCCCAAAAAGGGAAACCCCAGAATTCCAATTGGGAAAACTTACAAAAGGTGGTTGGTGGACAGCCACTACCCCGAATTCTGACCAAGGGTGTCCAATCAAAAAAAGCACCCATGTCTACAAACCACCGCGAACGCATGTGGCTGAATTCTCTGGCAAGAAAAGGCAACTAAACTCAAATGAGGGGATCGCAGTTTCGAGAACCCCTCAACATGCGTGGCGACGTGAAGGGACCCATCTGAACATTGCGTGGCTGTATGGCATCAACTGACGGCTGTGTGTGGAAACAAGCTAACTCGCCATTTGCTCCCAACTCAGTGTGCTTAGATGATCCATATAAAACAAACCTGCACATGTAACCATGATGTCAACAAAGAACCTCAAACAACAACTGGCGCAATTGATCCTTCGGCCGCGCCCTTGGACAAAACCGTCCATGGGCTCAAGGTGCCACTAAAACCAATGCATACATAGAACGATGTGTGCAGAAAGATAGACATATATACCAATATGTGTGCACATGCAAATCCGGGCAGCTGCCCGGGAAAGTTTGTACTGGTGGGGAAAGCAGATCTGCAATGGGAGATGCAACACCAATTGTGATGCGTGTTGAGCGGGGGGAAAAAAAAACTATCTAGGAAACCAAGGGACACTCAAGCATCGCCAAGCAAGCAATTGGAAGAACCCGCCCCTTTCCCAAACAATATGGCCCCTGTTTCCAATTGCCGGGAACATTGGGACGCCGCTTCCATCACGAATTACTCAGTTTGCCTACATTAGTTTGAGGGGGGCTGGCCACAAACAGACTCTACAAAGAACTGAACCTTCAACCAGCCAAGTTTGTTCGTGAATGACAGTGCCTAGCAGCATACAAACACACATAGCTGTTGCTGCTTTTGAAACCTGACCCCCAAAAAAAACAAATATTAAACACAAAAACAGACAAAAGGGAAAATAACAAACAAGAAAAATAAACACGCCGCGCCCATGTTTTTGCACTGAGCGAGTCTGCAAACCAAACATTGACTCAGGGGGAACGCCATGAACGCCCTTCAGGAAGTCTCCGCTGGCCGAGTAGCTGCCGGGAGATGTCGGCCAGCTGCGGCGCCGGGGCGCAGCCTAACTCTTGGGCCATGGACTGGAAGAGGATCGGTACGTCCACCAGGCCCTGGGGCAGAGATCCGCGGGGGGGGGGGGGGTTGGGCTCCGAATGTCAAAGACAAAAATAATAATACTCCCCAGGAAGCTAAATTGGCCAGGTTTTGGGAATCCAGCCTATGCTTTTGTTCAAGGGAGGTTTGGGCATTTTTGTACGGGGCATTCTAAGCATTTTTTGAGTAGAACAACCCAAGTTAAGCCAATCTAACGTCCTGGACTTTTGCCCGCCGGTACGGCGAGATCCCCTGTTCCTGGACCCACTGCTTGGATCAGCCTTGGAGAAGCCCAGTCGCTTGGAGAAGCCCAGTCTAAGCACATCGAAGTTCCCGTAGCTCATGTAAAATTTATTCTGTGAACATGGGGTCCGGGAGTCCGATTCTCCTATCCTCAGCCCGGAATTGGACACGTGGCTGATGAAAACACCCAGCGCCACTAGCATGCTCTTACTGGCATGTTTGTATAGGTTCTTAAAGCGTCTTTTGGAGCTTGACGTCACGCCAGGCTCCTTTTGAAGGCTTGAACTGAGCGTGTGTCACTGTAGAAGGGTTCTTTCCAAAAGATGCAACAACTGGGGAACGCACGCACGCAAAAGGAACACTATCGTAGGTTCCCCACGAACCCAACATTTCAAAAGATGGACGGGGAACGCCTGCATTTAAAAGGAACACTATCATAGGTTCCCCCACGGGTTTCCCGAAGCCACGCCTCCTGCAAGGCATCCTCCAGGGCGAAGGTGACGGTGTGCCCGTCCACGTGCACCAGAGTGCTCACCCTCGAGCTCAGGCCCACCCGATTCGTCGGGTAGTCATAGAGCGAATCAAAGACCTGACGCGATGTAGCGACCCACGGCACGGCACGCGTTAGATTCGACGTCTTGGAATGTTTTCTTCTCCTTGAGAGTATGTATAGTATCTAGAAGGTGTATGTGATGTGAAGCGATGCAATGTAACGCAACGCAACGCAATGGCATGCATACATGTATATACCTATGCATGTATGCATCATGAATGGATGGATGCATGGGTGGATTCATACACGGAGTCATGGATTCACGGCCGTTTCGCACGGTACAGTCCGTAATGGACAAAAGCCCTTGCCTGGTACGACTCTGGCAAGGCTTTGTCCAGAACCTCTGCGTCCAACTCGTAGAGGC